TTAGTATAATTCTTTCTCTTCTTTATTTCTTCACATTTAATTTTCCCCCTGGCTCATCCAAAGTATTTATTGAACAAAATGTCCCATGAAGCGTTCCCTGAACAGCAAGTTCTGTACTTGTATTTCCAAACTTCTTGCAGGCCTGTTCTCACATTTGCAGGACAGCTTTGTCAAATTCTTTGTTCTTGGTGGGAAGATAATTGGTGGTAAGATCTGATGTCGCTCTAATTGGAGTACCAGGGGATGCCCTCTGCCCTTCCTACCCCTACCTGTTTACATTATCTTTTCTTTATAAAATAAATTCAGGCATACCTAGGCATGTTTTGTTGTACGTATGGCATTCCTTAGAGGGTTACTCTGTGCCTTGTCATTTTTTTTTTTTTTTTTTCTTTTGAGACAGAGTCTCACTCACTCTGTCACCCAGGCTGTAGTGCAGTGGCGCAATCTTGGCTCACTGCAACCTCTGCCTCCTGGGTTCAAGCGATTCTCCTGCCTCAGCCTCCTGAGTAGCTGGGATTACAGGTGTGCGCCACCACACCTGGCTAATTTTTGTATTTTTTTCTTTTGGTAGAGATGGGATTTCACTATGTTGGCCAGGCAGGTTTCGAACTCCTGACCTCAAGTGATCTGCCTGCCTCGGCCTCCTAAATTGCTGGCGTTACAGTCATGGCCACTGCACCCGGCCCATGCCTTCTCATTTTTGAAGCCCAGTCAAAAAGCCTCATACTTCAGTTGTTTGAAATTAGTGGAGGCTGGAAGTTCTTGAATTTTCTGCTGCTTCATTGAAACTTGGCTACGTAGAATTGTTCCAGAGCCTTCCTACGTTTGACTTTTTCTTAGGTTTTTCTCTTACCTTGGTGGATTGTGCTGTTTTTTTAGTAAACAGTGTCAGAGGCTCTGGGCATGTCTGATCCATTTTAGGTCTCCTGATATTGATTTCCCACTCCCGCCCCTTCTTGTTTTGTGCCACTTTACCTCCTTTTGGGGTGTGTTGGGAGGATTGAGTTTCTTTTTTTAGGTCTGTGTTGTCATTTGATTGCTTTTTGAATGTTTTGCCTTTTTTTTTTTTTTTTTTTTTAATGGCATTTTAGCCCACTTGAAGCACGTTTTGGTTTTTTCCTGGAATCCTGTAAGGCCATTTAATCCTAGGTTCGTTTTACCTCTCCTTTTTTTTTTTTTTCTTTTTGAGACAGAGTTTCATTCTTGTTGCCCAGACTGGAGTGCAGTGGCTCGCTGAGACCTCTGCCTGCCAGGTTCAACCAGTTCTCCTGCCTCAGCATCCTGAGTAGCTGGGATTACAGGCGCCTGTCACCATGCCCGGCTAATTTGTGCATTTTTAGGAGACACGGGGTTTCTCTATGTTGGCTAGGCTGGTCTCGAACTCCTGACCTCAGGTGATCTGCCCCCCTCAGCCTCCCAGAGTGTTGGGATTACAGGCATGAGCCACTGTGCCTGGCAGCTTCCTCTTTTCACTGGTTTTGAGTATCTTCCCCTGCTTTTAATTGGGCACATGTAGGGAATTTAGAATTATTTTAATGCCTGTCTAATCATGGTTAATTGGCTGTATCTGCATTGTCCAGTATAGTAGCCACAAACTACAAGTAGCTATTTAGATTTCGATTAAAATTGGATACGATTAAAATTCAGTTTCTCATTTTCGCTAGGCACATTTCAGGTTCTCAGTAGCCACGTGACTCTGTTGGACAGGACAGATATATGATAGCTCCCTTATTGCAGAAAGTTCTATTAGGTAATGCTGGGTTATGGGATAGAAACAATATGCATATCAAAGAAGTACCTTAGCTATTTTTTTTCTCCCTAGTACTGTGATATTTTTGATAATTCGATTTGGTGGTCCCCCTCTCTAGCAGCCAATTCAGAATCAGTGGTTGACTATTAAGTGAAGAAGGGGTAGGTGCCTGAAAACTGTAATTAGGTAAAGTATTTTTTGGATGCTTGGGTATAATGTGTAGTATGACTTTCTTTCTGTGCAAGAAACTCTGACCGCATGGCCTGTATTGTTTTTGTGCTTTGGGGTAATTTGGCTGTGCTCTTCTTTTCTAGGTGCTAAGAGATGCCATTTGCGGGCCCCATCTCTGCCTGAGAATCAGCTCCAGGCACTAGAAGAACCAGCTGATCCTGGGCTCATTGCTTGAATAAGCCTTCACTTCCAGTTGCTCTCCAACGGCTGTGCGAACTACTCGTTTGTCTTAATGATGGGTATTGGTAAGAACACCACATCCAAATCAATGGAGGCTGGAGGTTCAACGGAAGGCAAATACGAAGACGAGGCAAAGCACCCCGCTTTCTTCACTCTTCCGGTAATCGTATTCCCAGTCTTCCTTTCTTGAATCTCTTGAAAGTAGTTTCCAGATGAAATCAACATAGGATTGGCTTTAAAACTCATGTTTTCAGGGAAGGTTAAGGCATTTGCAAACCAAATACTTTATACGTGAAATAGTCTTTCGGCTAACTCTTGGGTATTAGCTGTGCTCTCAGCCTGGAGTCATCTGCTGGGATTAACTCCAGGAAGGAAGCATGCATTGCTGTTAACATTTTAAATCTAGCCCAGTGCTTACTGTGTCTTGGAGGATGTTGAAGGCTTAGTTTTATCTTCAAAAATGTACTCTTAGGAAATAATGTGCAACCCAACATCACACACATTGCAAGGTGGGAGGATGAATGACTTACTGCTTGGAACCTCGCTGTCCATGTGTATTATGGCAGCAGTGTCCGGCATAGAGGTAGTTTTATCTCAATAAGTGATAGCAGTCAGACAAAGCTGATTACACACATTCATTATATTCAGTAAGAACATTTTTATCCCAGATGTGGGAATGATGATTTGATTTGTATAAAGTTGCCTATAAAGTGTTGGTTTAAAAACTGAAAAATGCTCTTTAGAGAGGTCTTGCCTCAAGACGTTTTCCTCTTAATACTGGAGATGGGGCTAATGGGAAGCATAGTGTTCGAGGATTTCTTCCTCTCTTTTTTCGAGACAAGGTCTTGTTCTGTTGCCTAGGCAGGGGTGCAGTGGTGTCCTTAAAGCTCATTGCAGCCTTGACTTCCCAGGCTTAAACTGTCTTCCCATCACAGTCTCCTGAGTAGCTGAGACTACCAGTGTGTGCAGCCTGTAGTCTACTACAGCTGGCTAATTTTTTCTTCTTTTCGTAGGGATGGGGGTCTTACTATGTTGCATAGGCTGGTCTTGAACTCCTGGGCTGAAGTGATCCTCCTGCCTCAGCCTTCTAAAGCACTGGGATTATAAGCATGAGCCACCACGTCTGGTTTCCAGATTAGTTATTCTTATTAATGTTGCATCTGAAACTATTGGCATGCCCCATGGCCTGATGATAAAGGGACTCAACAGTAAGACTTTGAGGGCAGATGCATCTACAGAGGTGTCAGGATTATTTTTTAAGACTAGGTCTCACTGTGTCCCCCAGGCTGAAGTGCAGTGGCACAATTAAGGCTCACTGTAGCCTTGACCTGGGTTCAGGCAATCCTTCCATGACAACCTCCCAAGTAGCTGGGACCACAGATGCCTGCCACCATGCTCAGCTACTTTTTATTATTTTTGTAGAGGCAGGGTCTCCCTATGTTGCCCAGGCTGGTCTTGAACTTAAGAGCTTGAGCTCAAGCAATCCTCCTGCCTTGGAGGATTTATTATTTTTTTTAAAGAGACTGAGTCTCATGCTTGCCTACGCTGGAGGGCAGTGTTGCAGTCATAATGCAGCCTTGAATTGCAGGGCTCAAGCCATCTGACTCAGACTCTCTAGTAGCTGGGATTACGGGTACATGCCACCAAGCCCGGCTTGAATGTGGCATCTTTAAGCACATTGATTGACTACTTTCATTCACACTTTATTTAGTTATTTTTAAAATAGTATTAATTCTCAGGGAGGTGTTTAATTTTACAACTGGCATTAACATTTCCTTTTTTCCTATAATGAAAAATTTTGAAACTGGATTTTCTTCATTGTTGAAGGCTTAAGGCTGACACAGGTTTTCTAGGGGAAGAGGCGTCAATCAGTTGTTCAAAATTAAATTAGATCAACGTGAAGTGTGAATGGGAAGGTTTTGTGCATGGGGGTTGCCCGGTTCTTTTGTGGCTTTATTTTGCCTTATAGCTCAGGAGATGATTCATTCTCTCTATAGCCCAGGAGATGATTGATTTCTCTCTTCCCTTCACGTTGGGGACAAGGACTTGAGCATGTCTCAACCACCTGCCCTGTCATTATGGCCCAGAATTTAAGATTTACTTTTTCTAGGTTAAACATGTAATATTTTATAGTTAGCAGTTGAATTCATCTATGTTTGTTGTCAGCTTCCTCATTCCCTGTTGTTTCTTATGTTCTTTTTCTTCCCTTTTAAGATACACTGAGAGTCTGTGGATGGTCACCATCTTAGTCTTTGTACATCTGGAAATGATTGTAGTTTGCCCTCCACTATTACATGGACTTCTATGAATGACACACCCCAGCATTCCAGCCTGTCCTCATTTCTCTAGCTGCTTTGTCTAATGATTTGGGTATCTTCCAGCATTGCCTTCTGGATGAATCCTCTAGTATTTTCCGGTTTACTCTTTTTTTTTTTGTATACAGTCATGTGTTTGTGTCCAATTTTTATTGCAATGATTATACCTCTTCTAAAATTTTTATTTGATTCATTTCTGCCTATTTTTGGTCCTTAATTTCTTATTATATGTGTTTCTTTTAAAATGTGACTTCGTGTAAATCACTGGGAACCCTGATGTACTTATGAAGTCCCTCTTTAGTGTTAAAACACATGGGCTGAATGAAGAAATCCCCCCCAAACAGGCTTTATGTGAGCAACACGGCTGTTTATTCACCTTGGTGTAGGCGGGCTGAAGCAGAAAAGGGCATCAGTGAAGGGCTGCGGGTTAGGAGTTGGTTTTATAGGTTTGGGGTGGGCAGTGGAAAGTTACAGTTTAGGGTGGTTTTTTGCAAGCTGGGAGGGGGTCGTAGGGTGTGGAGTCAGAAGGTTGACCAAGGTCAGTGACAAAGTCCAATAGTCCTATCAATTAGGGTGGGAATAAGGAACAATAGAGAATGTCTCAAAGTTAAGTAAGGCCACAGGGGTTGATCATTTCTTCATCTTTTCATGGTCTTCCACTTACTTTAGATTTTCCAGGAACTCATCTGGAACTCATCTGCAGGTCACAGAGGTTAACATGGTGTCCATGGCACTGTCAGTTAGCCTAAAAGACCTTATACCTAGTTGTTCTCTTTCCATCTGGAATCTTCTGGGAATTTCATCTCTTTCTCTGTGCTCCTATGGGTTTGTGTCTTCTCATTATGGATCCATTCCTATGGTGGAGCCCTTGTCATCTTCCCCAGGGCTGCCAACCATGGCATGGAAGAGTGAGGAAGCCTGCCAGGCCTGGTTCAGCCCCCACCTTGTTTCCAGGCTGGAGCTGAGGCTGCCTGGCTTAGGGCTTCCAGGCTCAGCACTTCTAGGCTCAACCCAGCAGGTCCCAATGTCAGCTGCATTTTTTCTATAAGTGTTTTTTTCCCTTCTCCCGCCCCCCGCCACAGGGTCTTATTCTGTTGCCCAGGCTGGAGTGCAGTGGAGCGATCACAGCTCACTGTAGTCTCAACCTCCTTGGCTCAGGTCATCCTCCCACCTCAGCCTCCTGAGTAGTTAGGACTGCAGGTACGTGCTACTGGGCCTGGCTAAATTTTTTTTTTTTTTTTTTTTTTTGTAGAGATGGCATTTCTCCATGTTGCCAGGCTAGTCTGGAACTTCTGAGATCAAGTGATCCACCTGCCTCAGCCCCTCAAAGTGTTGGGATTACAGGCATGAGCCACCGTGCCAAGCCTGTACATGTTTCTTGTGTATGGAAATGTTTGTCTTTTTCAGCTTGCCTATTTTGAGGTTTTTTCCTTCTATCCTTGTTACATTTTTTAGGGCAGGGTTGGGAAGGAATATTGCTCAAAGCATTAATTTCCAGATCCAACCTAAGTAGCAGTCCCTGTGAAAACATGGGAGCTGGGAATGTGGACGTAAGCCATAGCTGGGTGTAAATATGATGTTAATTTTAAAGTTGATTGAACACTAGAGCCATTTAATTATGGATGTTATAGAATTTTTATCCCAGTCTAGGGCTATAAAAGAAAGCGTTAAAAGGGGAAGAAAATAGTTTTTAAAGTTATGCTAAATTGAACTACAAAGGGTAGGAATAGAGTTGGAATCATAGGATGGAGCTGCTGGAAGGAGAGAAATAGCAGAGATGGAGATGGCAGAGAGTCCAAACATGAGCTCCCAGGATGATTTGGAGTCAGGATGCCAAACTGGGTCTTAGTCTGAACTCCCAAAGCTCACGATAAAATAGAAAATTACGCAAAAGAAGGAAAACACGAAAACAAAAGCTCCTCAAATAATGTTTACAAAGGAATAGTTTGTGGGATGGAGTTTTGGGTTGTGGACAGTTTTGTTAGAAAATATGTTATAGGCGGCCAGGCACAGTAGCTCACGCCTCTAATCCCAGCACTTTGGGAGGGCAAGGCAGGCAGATCATGAGGTCAGAAGTTTGAGACCATCCTGACCAACATGGCAAAACCCCATCTCTACTAAAAATACAAAAAAATTAGCCGGGTGTAGTGGTGTGCACCTGCGGTCCCAGGTACTCGGGAGGCTGAGGCAGGAGAATTATTTGAACCCAGGAGGTGGGGGTTATAGTCACCAGAGATTGCAGCACTGCACTCCAGCCTGGGCAACAGGGTGAGACTCCATCTCAAAAAAAAAAAAAAAAAAAAAAAAAGGTTACAGGCTGGGTGAAGATGCTGAGGTCTGTAATAGCACTCTGGGATGCCAAAGCCAGAGGATCACTTGCAGCCCGGAGTTCAAGACCAGCCATGGGAACATAGAAAGACCCTCATTTATACAAAAAAATTCAAAAATTAGCTGGTTGTGGTGGTATGTGCCTGTAGTCCTAGCTACTTGGGAGACTGAGGTTGGGAGGATTACTTGAGTCCAGAAGTTTGATACTATAGTGAGTTAGTAATTGTGTCGTTGCATGCCAGCCATCCTTAGTGACAGAGCAAGAATTGTCTCCAAAAAAAAAAAAAGGCAAGAAAATTTAATAACAGGAACACAGTACTGCCCGTATTTAATCACCAGTGAAATTGCTACCCTAAGTCAACTTTTAAAGTAGAAGACCATTTTGAATGATTTGCCCATTGTCAGGAAAGAGGTGAGGGGGCTAAGTTACAGTGGGCCACTTCCCACTGCCTGATGGATGGGATTAGTGTGGAGGCAGCTGTTTGGAGGCAGGGGCAGTGGGCTGAGACAGGAAGAATTGGTGCGTCTGGGAGATACCAAAGGCATGGGAATAGTAAGAACAGAGGTGAGGCTGACAGAAGAGATGATAGGAGACTTCGAGGGCCAAAGATGGGGACGTTTCAGATTCCCATCAAGATTTTATACATAAGAACCTGATTAGATGAATGGCGGCTTTGGAGAAATATATGAAGTCTAGGGAAAACCGTAAGTTTGGAGTGTGGGGAAGATGGAAAATGATGGATTTTATCTGAGAAGTTGTGGATTTGAACTGCTGTGCTCCTAGAGCCGGCAAGCACTGGGGGCGTGGGACTTGGAGCACACAGAGGTCAGGAGAGCTGTAAAGACTCATTGTGATGGCTCATGTGGGTGGTGGCTGACCTGTGGGAGAGGGTACTGGCTGCCAGGCAGAGCTGGCAGAGGAAGACAGGGCCGAGGGTCTCACTTTTGGAGATACCCACATGTGAGTGACTGGGAGGATTACACCAGGACATTGCTGCCCGCTAGCGCCTTGTTTCATCCTGGCCTTTGCAAATGTAAATGTTGACAAATAACCAGCATGGTAGCCTGGGCTTTATCTTTTTGTCTGAATCTGTGCTGTCTAATACCATGGCTGCTAGCCACATGTGGCTGTTTACATTTAAATTAAATGCTATTAAATTAAACCTGAAATTCACTTCATTTGTTGCACTAGTCAGGCGCTCCATAGCGACCCACGGCTAGTGGTTAGTCCATCTCTGCTTGCTGGTTAGGGCCTTGTGAGGCTGAAATGCTGGCTCTTATTTCTTCATTTGCCTTGGAATCCAAAGCTGGGCCTTAGGCTGTCAGCTGTTAAGGTATCTAGAGAGAGGTGTGCTGGAGTGCAGCACCCGGTTGGGCACCAGTAACCGGATCTGGCTGCTCCTGAGAACCAGGCGTGGGGGTGTGGCTGATAAGGATCTCATCTTTAGAGATTCTCTAAGGCATCCTGTGTTGGATGAGTGCTTCCTGAATCTTTGAACAAAATAAAACAAAACACCCACACAAACATTTTACAAAGAAAAAGAACACATCCGTATTGGAAAGAGAATGTCGACTAGGAAATTAGATCATGTGGTCAGAGTTGATATCAAATAGGGGGAACATAACAAAAGATCTTCTTCTTATCCCACAGGAATCTAGTTAGGCAAATTCTTGTGTTTTAAAGCCAGCTAGGAAATGTCTAAAAGGGGTGAATGCCCATGGCAAGAAATAGGAACCCCCCCCCCCAAAAAAAAGGCAAAAAAGTCCTGATGAATGACATTGGTCATACCCTAAGGACATTGGTCCCAAAGTACAGAAGGAAGCACCACCAGTGAAAAGCTGTGTGTTTGCTCCACAGTCCTGGAACCAGCTGAACCTGGAAGCCCAGTTAACAGCCAGAACTTCCTGTTAGCACAGGCCTGGCTGCAACACAGCCTCTCATTTCAGCACGTCATCATTCAGAGTCAGGAAAAGCATTTAAGCTTCCTTAAGCTTTTATTTCTTTTAACAGCTTTTATGAGAGTATTTGGGTATCAAGAGTAGATTATTCTGTCTGGAGATATTAACAGCTTGGACTGAGGAGTAGCGTTATGAGGTTCAGTCTTAGCAGAGAATGGGAGAGGTACTCCTGAGTGTTCATAAGAACCTACCACTTTTCATCTCCCCCCCGTGTGTGTTCTTCAGAACATGTAATGGGAAGCCCACAGCCTCACGTTCCTGCACTGACTTAATGTGGCTGGTGCACACACCCAGTGACCAGCTGCTTATAGCCCAGTGGGGGAGACATGGCAAGACAGCCAGCATACCATCAGCTGGTTTGAATCCAGCATGGGTGCTGTGATGATGTCCATGCGAGACTCTTGCCCAGCTGTGTTGTAGGGTAGGAGGCCTTGATGGTCAAATGAAGGTTCCCAAGGGAGATAACATGGAACTCCTAAAAAATGTCTAGGTATAGCAGGTCAAGAGGAGGGAGACTGAGGGCCTCTCAGCTGAGGGTGGGCATGGCTGTGTCCTGCTGTGAGTGCAAGCTTAGCGCAGAGTACAGTGGAGGTGGAGATGAGCAGTGGGGATGCTGAGGAGAGATCATAGTAAAATTGCTCGTTTTGGGTAGGAAATTCCTGCAGTGGGTGCTGGGGCAGGAAGAGTCTGGAGATAGGAAGGCAAGTTAGGGTGCTAGTGCATCCAGGTACGAGCTGATAGTGACCTGACCTGGAAGGCTCGGAGGAAAGGAATTCTTCCATTCAGCACCTGGGCACCTGCTTCATGTGAGGCTCTGAGAACACAGCTAACACAGCTGTGGAACAAGCCCAGCTCCTGCTGTCCTGGAATTGGCCTCCTAGTGATGGTAGGAGGAGAAAAATAGTAAAGAAACAAGCAAATACATCAATCTTGTGGCAGCTGGCCACTAATTCTGTGAAGAAATATAAATCAGGGAGGGGGATAGTGAGAAATAGAATGTGAGGTCAGACAGTGATCATATAGGACCTGCAAGCTATTCATTATTTTATCCTTTCAAAAATAGGAGCTGAGTGCCACTCATAGGTCTGGGCTCTACTAGAGAACAGCAGCAAATAGACAGCAATCCCTGAGCTTCCATCCTTTTTTTTTTTTTTTTAAGACAGAGTCTTGCTCTATTACCCAGGCTGAAGTGCGGTGGCATCATCATAGCTCACTGCAGACTTAACCTCCTGGGTTTAAGCCATCCTCCCAGCTCAGCCTCCTGAGTAGCTGGAATATAGGCACATGCCACTGTGCTCTGCTGATTTTTAATTTTTTTTTTTTTTTTTTTTTTTTTCAGAGATGGGATCTTACTGTGTTGCCCAGGCTGATGTCAAACTCCTGAGCTCAAGCAATCCTTGTGCCTCAGCCTCCCAAAGTGCTGGGATTACAGGCAGGAGCCACTTTGGCTGGCCACAGGGCTTCCTTTCTGGTGTGGTAGACAGGCAATCCACAATAGAAATAAGTCAAATGTGTAGATGTTAGATATTGACAAATACTAGGGAAAAAAATAAGGGAGAGATATGGATGCTGAAAATTCAGGTGGCCAGGAAAGGCTACACCAAGAAGTCAGCCTTTGAGTAAAGTCCTGGAGGAGTTGTGGGAAGCCTGTGTGTGGGCCTCAAGGGCAAAGGCCTCTTGGCCAGGGTGGGCATTGACCAGAGATTCTGTAGGCCTTATAGTCCTGACCAGGATGTTGGCCTGAGACAAACCTTTGGAGGCCTTTGAGCAGAGATGTGACATGCTCTGCCTAGTGGGGGGTAGGCTGAAGAGGAAAAGTAGGAGGCCAGGCAGGAGCTGATGGCTCTAGGACAGGCGTGCTGACAGCAGCTGCAGCCTGGGTGCTTGCCCTGTGGAGGTGGGAGAAGCCACCAGGCCCTGGAGCAGACCTGGCCTCTGTGCTTTTGGGCTGGATGAGGGTGGGAGCAAATCCTTTCTAAAAGAGAAACCCATTCCAGGCGTTGAAAAATAAGTCAGCAGAAACCCTGACTCTGGAGGGAGAGTAGGGAGGAGCCACAGTGGAGGAAGGGTTGGCTGGAGGTGTGGCCAGGAGCTTTGAAAAGAAGGGGAGAGGTTCTGTCCTGGAAGAGACTCCTGGAAGGAGCTGCAGGAGGAGACCTGGGGCTCGTGGGGCTGTGACCTGATGGGTGTGCCTAGCAGGCAGGAGGTGAGTGGGACAGAGTGGCGGTGCTCAGAGCTTTGCGGTGTGAGGATGCCCTGCAGCAGGGAGAGGAGGGCAGCCACCAGGACCGGGGACCCATGCTCCTTTCTTTCCTTTTCTGTGTCCCTTCCCTCCCTCTTCCTCCTGTCCCTCTTTTAAGACAAGTGACCTTGGCAGAAGGACGTAGGGATGTACATCACCAATGGGTGAAAAAACCATTTAATGGCTGCTTCATTTTTGTGAACCCCTGACTGTGTGATGACAGATTTGAATATGCCCATTTTCAGCAGTGAAAAGAAAGCAAAAAGGTTTTTTGGTGCAAATACTTTTCATTCTAAAAACCAAGCAAGGAAGCCCAGAACACGTCCTTGTTCTTGTGACTTTAGCACCAGGTGCTGTGAATTTCCTTTTTGTACATCGCTAAATAGAGAGTTTGGAGTACTTAGATCTTAAAATGAAAAGTCTCGCTTGGATGGTAATAATAGTTGTCTGGGAAAATGTTCTTTCTGTAAGAATAACAGATCCTGGGATTGACTATATGATTCCAAGAAGGGCCTGAGGATGAAGAGAGACTTTCCTGGAGTTGGCCCAGGGAATGGGTTTAATTCTCCTCTTTCCGTAAGATGAGAGTTTTAATATACTGCATAATGGCCATGATTTAGGGCAGGGGATGCCCTTAATAGCTTGAAGTGAAACAACCAAGATGAGCAGCTTTTTCTGTTTTAAAATGTGTAAGTTGGGGGGAAAAAGTGTTAAAAAGGGAATATGCCAATATATGCTTTGAAATGGAAACATCGAAACTGTGGAATGCAAATGAAGAGTTTTGTGCATGGTGAGATATTCTCTTCCTTAGCTCCCTCCTTCCTACCTCCCTCCCTTCAAGATGGGGTCTCACTATGTTGCCCAGGCTGGTCTCAAACTCCTGGGCTCAAGCAGTCTTCCCACCTTGGCCTCCCAAAGTGCTGGGATTACAGGCATGAGCCACCACACTTAGCCCTAGATTTTTATCTTAAAAATTAATTTTTTTCCTCTGGTTTTGAGGCTTCAGATAGTCTATCATATTGTAATATGCTTTAAATTTGAACAGAGTTGGGGTAGTTTTAAATGAAAGGAGAGATGTTAGCATAGAAAGTACACATCTAATAGTGGGGAAGCACACAATTTGGTATGAATAAAGATAGCAAGAAATTCTTGCCACCATCTCTTACTATAGCAGGCTTACAAAGTTAATCAGCATTTTGGCCATCTCTTACTTTTTTGTGTGTATTTTAAAAATTTATTTTAATTTATTAATTTTTTTAGGGACAGGGTTTCACCATATTGGCCAGGCTGGTCTCGAACTCCTGACCTCAAGCAATCCACCTTCCTCGGCCTCCCAAAATGCTGGGATCCTAGGCGTGAGCCACCGCGCCTGGAGTTTTTTTTTTTTTTTTTTTTTTTTTTTTTAAGACAGTCTTGCTTTGTTACCCCCAGGCTGGAGTGCAGTGGCATGATCTTGGCTCACTGCAGCCTCCACCTCCCAGGTTCGAGCAATTCTTGTGAAATAGCTGGGACTACAGGTGTACACCACCATGCCCAGTTAATTTTTGTATTTTTTGGTAGAGACGGATTTCACCACGTGGGCCAAGTTGGTCTCAAACTCCTGAACTCAAGTGATCCACCCATCTTGGCCTCCCAAAGTGCTGGAATTACAGGTGTGAGCCACCGCACCCGCCCTCTCATTATAGTTTTTTTCTTTTTTTTTTTTTTTTTTTGAGATGGAGTTTCCCTCTGTCACCCAGGCTGGAGTGCAGTGGTGACATCTTGGCTCACTACAAGCCCTGCCTCCTGGGTTCAAGTGATTCTCCTGCCTCAGCTTCCTGAGTAGCTGGGACTACTGGCACATGCCACCACACCCAGCTAATTTTTTGTATTTTAAGTAGAGACCAGGTTTCACCATGTTAGCCAGGATGGTCTCGATCTCATGACTTTGTGATCCACCTGCCTCAGCCTCCCAAAGTGCTGGGATTACAGATGTGAGCCACCATGCCTGGCCCTCATCATAGTTTTAATATATCTTTTTATGAGTAAAGTTGAGCATCTTTTCACTGTTCAAGAACTATGTTTATTTCCTTACTTATTTTCCTATTGGGATGTTAGCCTTTTTCTTATTGAGCTTGTGTCCTTTCCTTGTTCTTTACATTTTAGAGACGTGTTTGTTTTCTGTAATGTGTTAGCATCTGGAAAGAATGGGAGAGGATGGATGGCCCCACTTTGGGTGGGGTGCTGTAAGGTGCCATGTGGCCTCAGGATCTGTTCTTGAATCCATCTGGGGATGGGATCCCCAGAACATCTCTTAGAAACCTCACATAGAAGGGAAGATGTTTGAAGTGCCCAGCCCAGTGCCGGGTATGAATATGTGCCAGGCAGACAGTACAGTCGCCACCACTACCTGCCTGGGGTGTGGGAGGAGCACGCACTGCAGAGTGTTTCAGCGTGGGCCATGGCAGACCCATCACCCGCCCCAGCTCTGCTGTGGGCTGGCACAGGGAGAGATGAGGCTCCTTCTGGCTCCTCTTGTCCCCCCGCTGGGGAAAGGTGAGATGCAGCTAGAACCTCCAGGGTGCTTCTGGCTGCCACAGCCTTAGCATTCTGGAGAAGGTGGCCATTAGAAGACCAGACTAGGCTGGGCGAGTGGTGGAGGCTGAGCTACCCAGCAGTGTCACCTGCACTGGGGAGTTACAGGAGCCATCCTGTTGGAAGAGGCAGTGAAAACAAAATTAGAGGCTTTCCTGCATCAGCCAGATTCAAGGTCGCTAGTGTCATGTTAGCGCTATCCCTGCCGCATCTTTTGGGGTGATGTAATCTAAGATTGACAAGCTTTGGGTGTTTAGAATATGTTGTACTGTGCTCACTTGTACTTATTTTTCATAGTGGTTAATTTTGAAATTTCTAATAACATTGAAGGTAGGTGGGAAGTTTTCATGTTCATAGTGAAGGGGCTTGGAGTAAGGCTGGGTAACACTAATCTATTATCTTTATTCTATATTCAAAACACATTTTAATTGTGGAATAGATTTGGCTATGAGAGGAAATAACCGTATGCTTATGTGTTGAGGAGGGGGATTCATAACAGTGTGTGTTACCTTCCTGTTAAAAGAACTGAAAGCAGAAATTGAGGGAACTTTATTACTACTCTGAAAGTGATTGGTTTAGTATAAAATGGTTCTCTTAGCAGTCAGATACAGTTCTGGACACTCACATTGGAGATGTGGGGTTTCCCGGGTGCCAGTGCCCTCCGCTTGACAGGTGTCAGTAAGCAGCACATGCACTGTCACTTCTGCTTGAGAAATGTGGACACGCACAGCTGCCAGTTTCACCTGGCACTGCTGTGATACTGACACCCCGAGGCAATGACTTCTGTCACTCCTGCTTCCTACACCTCTGACCATCTCAGGAGAACTGTTTAGAAATAAATACTTCGGCCGGGCGCGGTGGCTCAAGCCTGTAATCCCAGCACTTTGGGAGGCCGAGGTGGGTGGATCATGAGGTCAAGAGATCGAGACCATCCTGGTCAACATGATGAAACCCCGTCTCTACTAAAAATACAAAAAATTAGCTGGGCATGGTGGCATGTGCCTGTAATCCCAGCTACTGAGGAGGTTGAGGCAGGAGAATTGCCTGAACCCAGGAGGCGGAGGGAGCGGTGAGCGGAGATCGCGCCGTTGCACTCCAGCCTGGGTAACAAGAGTGAAACTCCGTCTCAAAAAAAAAAAAAAAGAAATAAATACTTCATCTTTGGCTAGAAAAAAAAAAATAGAGGAAAAAAAAAAGAAAATGCTTTAGTACCATTGTCTTAGCTTAGTAGAAATAAAACACAAGCAAAAAAGACATTGTATTTATTGAGCAATGGACACATTTCCACACTCAAAGTCATACACTCAAGGTATACATTTTGTGAATCCTTTGGATATACAAATATACAGAATGTGTATCTTGCTAGTAGCCAGTATACACTTTGAATGTATGACTTTGAGTGTGGAAATGTGTCCATTGCTCAATAAATATAACGCAAATGCCATGGCATATTGGAGACAAAAATCATCTGGTTAGGCCGAGAAAACCTGCTTTTATAGCGGATTGAGTGATTGTACAATATTAGTTTAGTAGACAAAACTTCAGGCCACAAGTTTAGTTTCAGATAGTTTTGGAGAAGAAAGGGCATTTTGTTCCCAAAAGGAATATAATAATCTGCCAATATTTTCATAAAATCATGATCAATTTCCTGAGGTGAAAGATGCCAAGATTCTTCTATGGCATCTATTAGTTACCCAACAGAACACCAGGCTTTATTAAGTTTAGAAAGCTTCCCAAGACACGTTTTATTCCCCAATTAAAATAATATTTAAAAGTTCCAAAATGTGGAGCTTTGATATTATCATCAACATTGTAATCATTTTCCGATTAAAAAAAACTGTCCTCAAGAACTGATTTTTACCAGTTGATTTTTAAAATTAAATTTTGCCTTAAAAATAGACCATTAGAGTATCTATTTTATTTATTTATTTATTTATTTATTTTTGTCTTACATCTCCCATTTATTTATTTTATTGCATTTTAGGTTTTGGGGTACATGTGAAGAACATGCAAGATTGTTGCATAGGTACACACGTGGCAGTGTGATTTGCTGCCTTCCTCCCCATCACCTACATCTGGCATCTCTTCCCTTGCTATCTCTCCCCAGCTCCCCACCCCACACCGTCCCTCCCGTTTCCCCCCAACTGACCCCAGTGTGTAGTGCTCCCCTCCCTGTGTCCATGTGTTCTCATTGTTCAACACCCGCCTATGAGTGAGAACATGCGGTGTTTGATCTTCTGCTCTTCTGTCAGTTTGCTGAGAATGATGGTTTCCAGGTTCATCCATGTCCCTACAAAGGACACAAACTCATCGTTTTTGATGGCTGCATAATATTCCATGGTGTATATGTGCCACATTTTCCCTGTCCAGTCTATCATCAATGGGCATTTGGGTTGGTTCCAGGTCTTAGCTATTGTAAACAGTGTTGCAATGAACATTCGTGTGCATGTGTCCTTATAGTAGAATGATTTATAATCGTTTGGATATATACCTAGTAATGGGATTGCTGGGTCAAATGGAATTTCTATTTCTAGGTCCTTGAGGAATCGCCACACTATTTAGTAAGCCAAAGGAAAAAGTATTAGTAAAATAAACTAGTACTTCAATAGAACTCTTCATCTGTGAGAACCATTTAGGCAAGAACCATTTAGGCAGCTCCTTGCATGTCAATACATCAGAGATGAACCAGTCAGACAAGCCAATCAGACAGGAGTGTTGGTGTCCCCATCTTATTACGGGCTTCCTTAGGGGATGGGTGTGGGGTAGCATGGAGAGGAGAGGTAGGTCAGCTACATGTCGGCTGTGCAATAGGAGGGTGGCAGGGGGACGCTGGACTCTGAGGTCCAGCTTCCTGTGCAAATCATAAGTTATCTACGTCAGTAGTATTTACAGGTAAGTGAACTCCTGGATTAGCCTGGCAAAGTAAAGCTTCCTTTTTGGGATAATTTCTTTGGATCAGACACATTTTGAATTGGCTTACAAACACTCCACCCCTCCCTCCACCAGTTTCTTTGGGACTAGCAGCCCCGTCCACCCAGCTTCCCAGCTGAGAAACCCAGACAGCAGCCTGGACACTTTACCCCCATGCCCCTTGCTGTGCTGTGACGATGTCTCCCCAGTACTCAACGCAGAGCTCCCATCGAGACAGTCTTCAGAGGGCGTTAAGTTCACATCTTTGTTCTCTCCTGAAGCTAACTGTCTTTCCCAGAGCACTGTTAACACCTTGGCCCAGCCACTGTCTCCTCGTTTGCCAAGGAGTCATTCCTTCACCCCAGCAATCCACTCTCCAGCTGCACCCAGAGTGGCTGTCCAGTGCAAGCATCTGATTTTGGCACTCCTGTTCTTGGCATTTCTGTATGGCTACTTACTGTCTCCTGTGTAACGGCAGAATTCCCTGGCACGGGGGGCACTCACTCTAGACTGAGCTCCTGCAGGGAGGCAGGACTGCGTTCTCATTGCCTGGGATACAACTACAGTTTGTTGAATGAATGAATATGTGAGCTTTTTTCCTAGGCTTAGGAGTATCTGCGTTTTGTAATACAGATGTTCCTTGACTTATGACAGGGTTATACCCTCAAAATGCATTTAATACACCTAACCTACTGGCAATCCATAGCTTACCTTAGCCTACCTCAAATGTGCTCAGAACCCTTACAGTAGCCTGTTAGGCAAAAGCATCTAACAAAAAGCCTATTTTATGGTAAAGTGTTGAGTATCTCATGCAGTTTCTTGAATACTAAAATGAAAAGCAGAGGGGTTGTATTGGATACTTGACAGTTTCTACTGATCATGTATCACTTTTGCACCACTGTAAAGTAAAAAAATCCTGAGTCTAACTGTTGTAAGTTGGGGATCATCTGTACTTATTTTTGTGTTTATTAATAGTGTGTGGGATGTGTCAGGGGAGCAGTAGAAGTTGTTAACTCATTCTAAAATCTGTCCTCTTTGGTGCCATGTATACAGATGATTTTTTCTTTTTCATGTATAGAGGTGAAGTTTGCATAACATAAAATTAAAGTGAACTCAGCTGGCACAGTGGCTCATGCCTGTAATCACAGCACTTTGGGAGGCCATAGTCGGCCTCTGACAAGGTCAGGATATTGAGACCATCCTGGCTAACAGCGTGAAACCCTATCTCTACTAGAAATACAAAAAATTAGCTGGATGTGGTGGTGGGTGCCGGTAGTCCCAGCTACTCGGGAGAATCACTTGAACCTGGGAGGCAGAGGTTACAGTGAGCCGAGATCACGCCACTGCACTCCATCCAGCTTGGGTGACAGAGCAAAACTCTGTCTCAAAAAAAAGTGAACAATTCAGTGATATTTTAACATACTCGTAGTGTTGTACAACCTCCTCCATTTGGATCCAAAACATTTTCATCTTCTGCAAAGGAAACCCCACACCGGTAAAGTTGCTGTTCCCTGCAGCAACCAGAGATAAATGCAGGTGAAGGTTAGTTTAGCTGGCATCGAACTTTCAATCAGATCTGGGCTTTTCTGATGATTTAGTGACTAATGTGTGTTTTAAAGGAGTTCATCCTGAGAGCGTGTTGCTCTTGGCTTCTCAGTGGGTTGAGCACTGCTGCGATATGGCTTGGAGCACAGTTCTCTCTGTAAATTAAGAGTTTCATCTCGTGGACTTGATCTTGGCCAAGAATGTGTAGCCTGCTAGCAGCCAGTTTTTATAGGCAAACCAGCTCCACAAACTCAGTTGGCTTGTGTAAAAAGCTATAACATGTTTGAGAAATAATTTTAAAAACAGGTCTTTATTTGGAGTAATATAATAGAATTCTGCTCTGTAGGAGTATGAACTAATTAACTGAGATCTCTTGCATACTTTTATTTTTTTATTTTTTGAGATAGAGTCTTCCTCTGTTGACCAGGCTGAAGGGCAGTGGCACAATCTCGGCTCACTGCAGCTTCCACCTCCTGGGTTCAAGCAATTCTCCTGCCTCAGCCTCCCAAGTAGTTGGGATTACAGGTGCCCGTCACCATGCCCAGCTAATTTTTATATTTTTAGTAGACATGAGGTTTTGCCACGTTGGCCAGGCTGGTCTCGAACTCCTGACCTCAAGTGATCCACCCATCTTGGCCTCCCAAAGTGCTGGAATTACAGGTGTGAGCTGCCGTGCCTGGTGCTTTATTATTTTTAATGGCTGAATATTCTCCTCTAAATGAGTGTATAATACTGTAACTGTGTCTTTTTGATGAACATTTATGTTGTCACCAAGTATTCAGGATTTCATACATTGTGCCAGTGATCAACCTTCAATGTACATATTACCCGCATGGGTATTTCTAGAGGATAAGCTTCTATGAGTATAATTGCTGGATCCACAGGAATGTCAGTTTTAAATCCCATTGCCAAATTTCCCTCCATGAAGGCCTTTCCACGAAGAGTATGTTCTTTCTAAGAACACAGGAGAGTAACTGTCCCCCATACCCTGGTCAACACCAAATTCAATTTTTTAAGTTTCCTGTAAATTTGTTTTTTAAAAAACAAAATTTTAATCATTACTTCCATAATTTAAAATGATATGAAACGGCTTTTCATGCATTTTATTATATATATGTTTTTCTTCTATGAATGATATATTCCTAGCCCTTTCCCATTTCCTTTGGATCTTTTTTCATTAGACCTCTCAGGGATGAATTGGATTGTTTGGTTTTATGATTGGCTTGAGGTGTTCTTTATGAATATTGTTACTGACTCTTTTTATATCTGCTGCACTGTATTTTCACCTAGACCATCACTTGTCTTCTGCTTGCTTATGGTGTATTTCACAATGCCAGAATTTGAACTTTTTATATACTTCTTTAATATATTTTTAAAATGTAGTTGCACCATTAACCATATGTACAGTTACTTTAATATTTATTACATATGCATTTTCCTTGATGTTACTCTTGTAAAAATCTTTTCCCTTGTACTATTCTTGGTGTCAGTGGCCTATAACTAGTTATTTGGGCCAGGCATGGTGGCTTATGCCTGTAATCCCAGCACTTTGGGAGGCTGAGGCGGTGGATCACTCGAGGTCATGAGTTCAAGACCAGCCTGACCAACATGGTGAAACTCCATCTCTACTAAAAATACAAAAATTAACTGGGTGTGGTGGCGGATGCCTTTAATTCCAACTATTTGGGAGGCTGCGGCAGGAGAATCACTTGAACCCAGGAGGCGGAGGTTACATTGAGCCGAGATCATGCCGTTGCACTCCAGCCTGGGTGACAGAGCAAGACACTGTCTTTAAAAAAAAAAAAACAAAAAACTAGTTATTTGTTACCGTAAACAGTAATTACTTTCTTTGGGTTAAAGCTTTTGTTTTCAGTATTTTTCTCCAGGATAGATTCCTAGAAGTGGAACCATTTGGCTAAAAAATAAAAATATTTTATGGCTCTTGCTACCGGCTAGCAGAGCCCGGGATGATGGTGTATAGTCCCTTACAGAGGGGTGCTCTCCGGTGGGCTGGTTTACTTAGGTTGAACAGCAGAGCTTGAGTTCCTCCAGCTAGAACATTTCACCTTCTGGGCACAGGAAGTCGCCCTCAAGTGGTTATGTGGGCAGGGATCTTAACCGAGGCAGCTCAGGGCACTCTCGCCTAGTCAGCCAGGGCCTGGTCACACAAGTAAGGCAGCGTGGGCCTCTGAGCCAAACTTCCCTTGGTCTGGAGGAGGTGGGGGTCCCCCTGCTGTTCTCCCTGGCTGAGCCTCTTGCCCAGGCAGCCTCCCCATATGGGACTTGGAGTATGTTTCTCCATCAAAACCATGCCTGGTCATGCACTCACCAGGAGAATTACCAAAGGCTTTTTGGGGGGATGGAGGGGGAAATGTGGTTCACACTGAAACAGCCTCTAAGTAAAGTGTCTCTGCAGGTGGTGATAAATGGAGGCGCCACTTCCAGTGGTGAGCAGGACAACGAGGACACGGAGCTTATGGCGATCTACACAACGGAAAACGGCATTGCAGAAAAGGTACCCCTTCACCCTGTACCCCCATCCCTACCTCCATCACCTCCCACAAGTGCTGCCCCAGATCTGGATCCTGTGCAGGCATCTGCGTGACCTTCGTCTAGGGCTTGGTCTCTGACCCCCAAGGGGTGTTTTCTCTTCATAAGGGAAATAGGAGGAGCCATAGGGAATAGAAGTTACTAGTTTTTAATTGTTTTAATGGCATTTAAGATGAGAACCATAGAGGAGTCATCATCTAGATAGGTTAAAAGGCCTCAGCCAAGATGCCAGAGGGATGTGGTTAAGAGCTTGGGGTCTGGCATCAGGTCTGGGTGCAAACATGAGGAGTCAGACTGAGGAAATTATAGAAGTTCTTTGGGGCTCAGTTCCCCATCTCTAAAATGGGAATAAAAATATCAACATCTATCTTATGGTTGTTGTGAAGATTGAATGAAATAATATATATGTGAAACTATTAGCATCGTGCCTGTCACATATACATGTGCAGTAAATGAGAGAATAAGGGAAATCAGCAAGTAGTTTATGCAGCTTATGAAAATGCTTTTGAGCTTTGACCAAAGCAATGGAAATAGTACACTAAAATGAGGAGAATCGTGTTTGTGGGTTTTTTTTTTGTTTTTGTTTTTGTTTATTTTTGTTTTGTTCTGTGCCTCATTCCATCTTCTTAAATGGTCAGATTATGTGACCGTAGAGGTCAGGAAAGAGTTGCCCACAGTGGCTCCAATCTGGGTGCAGTGGCTCACACCTTTAATCCCAACACTTTGGGAGGCAGAGGCAGGAAGATTGCTTGAGGCCAGGAGTTTGAGACCGTAGCCTGGGCAACATAGTGAGATCCCATCTCCACAAAAAAATGAAATAATTATCCAGGTGTGGTGGTGTGTGCCTATTGTAGCAGCTACTCAGGAGGCAGGCAGATTACTTGAGCCCAAGAGTTTGAGGCTACAGTAGGCTATGATCACGCCACTGCACTGTAGCCAGGGAGACAGAATAAGACCCTGTCTCTAAAAACTAAAATAAATAAATGCATAACTAAAAATAAAGTGGGTACAGATATCCTGGTTTCTTTTTTTCATTGTGTCTACCATGCTGCCTACCACATGAGAAGTTAGATAATCTGATATTTCCAAATTGTATTGCCGCTCCAAGACTTTCATTTGAGTTTTACCTGATAGATTTTAAATACAGGTTTTATTTTTACAGTGAAAATTTACTAATTTTCAACTTACATAATGAGAAACTGAACAATTTGTGTAATGAGAAATTCTATTCTGGAACCACTGTGTTGCACTGTAGACAGTGTATACTATGTATTCTAATAATAGACCACTCAGAAGTTCACACAAACAAATACCTGACTTGGATATTAGCATGATGAGTTCACAGTATAATCACTGAAGTGATTGAGAACAAGTAACTTGTATTGAAATTCTGGAATAACCAAATTTTTATGCCCTTTTAAACAAACTTCCAGTTTGGGAAATGGAAATTTCATTTTTGCCTCTCAATCAATATTGTTATTATTTTCCTGTTGCCTGGAGCTATTGTAAATTTTATGGAGGTTAATTAAAGTAGATTCATGCAGAGATACTGAAATTCTAGAAGTGCGGGGTTCTAAGCTGCTCCTCAGAGGTTAGTGCAGTGGTGGTTGGCATGTGGATTGCTGCCTGCGGTCTGCAGTGAGGCATGCCCCACTTGCCAGGCCGCAGCTTTCACACGACCCATCTTGTAGTAAAGTGCTTCTTCACAGACTTATTGGGGCCACATATAATCCCATATGACATGATTCCAGGCTGTCGTGTCTTTAGACTTCCTCATTCTCTGTCTGGAGACCGTCTTTAGAAATAAATAATAAGGAGCATTAACACCTTGGGGCTTAGCTTTACCTTTTGCTAAAGGGAAGGATCTAGTTGTAGGAAAAAATGTCTCTAGCACATTTATGCTAGATGTGTATTTTCCTGTTTGGGCGAACATTTTTTCATTGTCTAAACATTGATACATTTGCATTTTCTTGAATACCAATGAAATGGGGTACAGTATCTTCATATTTTCCTCGCCATTTTTCTTACTTTATGAAATGAGGAGGACAAGGAAAAAAGCTGCCACATTAAATAGTGCTAGTTGGGCTGGGTGTGGGCTCATGCCTGCAATCACAGCATTTTGGAAGGCTGAGATGGGTGGATCACTTGAGGTCAGGAGCTCAAGACCAGCCTGGCTGACATGGTGAAACCCTGTCTTTACTAAAAATACAAAAATTAGCCGGGAGTGGTATCGCATGCCTGTGGTTGCAGCTACTCGGGAGGCTGAGGCAGGAGAATTGCTTGAATCTAGGAGGTGGAGGTTGTAGTGAGCTAAAATGGCACCACTGCCCTCCAACCTGTGTGACAGAGTGAGACTGTCTGAAAAAAAAAATAAAATAAAGTGCTAGTCCTTGGGCTAGACTCTCAGTTGGCTGCCTTTTTTTTTTTTTTCCTGAGATAGTGTTTCACTATGTTACCCAGGCTAAAGTGTAGTGGCCCAATTTTGGCTCACTGCAATCTCTGCCTTTCTGGTTCAAGTGATTCTCCTACCTCAGTCTCCTGAGTAGCTGGGACCACAGGCACATGCCATAATAACTGGCTAATTTTCTTGTGTTTTTAGTAGAGAGGGGGTTTCTCCATGTTGGCCAGGCTGGCCTCAAACTCCCAACCTCCGGTGATCTGCCCACCTTGGCCTCCCAAAGTGCTGGGATTACAGATGTGAACCTACCACACCCCGCCAAAAGGCTCTCAGGTAGCAGGGATTGCCACAGTGTGATCGGAGTGGCATGTAAGGTGGTTATTAACAAGCCTCCGCTTGACGTGCTGCCCTGTGTGCCGCTGGGCCTTTTGCTGCCTGTTGTTTCAAATGCATAGTTGCAATTTTCATATTAAATACAAGATAAAATAAACTGTCTTCAGAACTTTGAGATCTTTTTTTTGAGTTAGAGACGTTTTCTGACTTGGGCCAGGTGGGTGGCTCACGCCTGCAATGCCAGCACTTTGGGAGGCCAAGGTGAGCAGATTGCCTGAGCTCAGGAGTTCGAGATGAGCTTGAGCAACATGGTGAAACCCTGTCTCTACTAAAAATACACACACATACACACACACAAAATTAGCCGGGCTTGATGGCACATGCCTGTGATCCTGGCTACTTGGGAGGCTGAGGCAAAAGAATCACTTGAATCCAGGAAGTGGAGGTTGCAGTGAGCCAAGATGGTGCCACTGCACTCCAGCCTGGGTGACAGAGTGAGACTGTCTCAAAACAAAACATAAAAGACGTTTTCTGACTTTTGATCCTTAGGGGTTCTTTTTAAGCCATCTTTTGATAAAGGACCAGCTGTTCCTAAAAAAAAAAAATGGCATTCACTTTAACATGCTTGTCTAATAGTAGATAGTCCAAAAAATGTAATAAGAAAGTTGAAAATGTGCCCCCTCCATTCTTTATATATTCTATTTAACCTGCGGCTGCCAATCTGATGCAGAGTAATCATCCTAAAGCTGAGATTTAAAATCTGCAGTGTTCCAATACCTGAAACTTTTTGAGTACTGACACGATGCTCAAAGGAAATGCTTGCTCATTGGAGCATTTTGGATTTGGGTTTTGGGATTGGGATGCTCAGCCAGTAAGTATTCCAAAATCCCCAAAAATCTGAAATCCAAAACATTTTGGGTTCCAAGCATTTTCAAATAAGGGATATTCAACCTGTTCGTATATTCCATATTACTTTCTGGGTGTATGTGTACCACTCATAGGTACAGACACACAGATGCCGCAGATATTAACATTTTACTGTATTTTCTTAATCATTCTTGTAGGCATATTATTATTTCTGAGCTGTTCGAATCTTACAGACATAATGCCCCTTTATCCCTAAATACTGCATGTGTATTTCCTTAAAACAAAGACATTCTCTTATGTAACTTCAGTACATTTTTATTTTATTTTTTGAGACAGCCTTGCTCTGTCGTCCAGGCTGGAATGAAATGGGGCAATCTCAGCTCACTGCAAACTGTGTCTCCCAGATTCAAGCAATTCTCATACCTCAGCCTTAGCCTCCTGAATAGCTGGGATCACAGGCATGCACCACCATACCCGACTAATTTTTCTATTTTTGGTAGAGACGGGGTTTTGCCATGTTGGCCAGGCTGGCCTGGAACGTCTGGCTTCAGGTAATCTGCTCGCTTTGGCCTCCCAAAGTGCTGGGATCACACCATGAGCCACCAGGACATGAGGCAATGAAAGATAGGATTGTGAGGTCTTTGTGTGTGATGAAGTTTATCTAATTGTGGGCCTGCCCTAGAATGACCAGGTGGAAAGCTGTGTTGTCTCTGTGGGATCTATAGATGTCACTGTCTTGCCTTTGGGCTGATCAGCTTTCTCTAGAAAGGAATTGTGTGGTCTCCTGTGGGTATAAGTCTGGCTTCTGTGACCTGGTTTTTGGCATTCTGGAAGAAGATGAGTATCCTGCTGTTGATGTTTTCCTTGATCGCTGTGTGGTATTCCTCAGTCTGAGGGCTTTGCAGTTTATGTTCTTTAAGCCATACATTTTTGTGTCTTGAAGGAGGAGGATAGCAGTAGTTAACATGCAGTCTGACCAGTTTGCAGAGTTAAGATGTGTCCTCTCCCCATCACTACGCTGTTTAGTGCATCCAAGCATAGCTCTCCCTGGGGTCCTGCTGGTGAGCCAGCTCACCTCTTCACAGCATCCTTCTATGATCACCCAGCTTGTGCATTCCTTCCCTCTCCCACATTGGTCACAAATCAGCCAAACACGTTCAATGTTAAAAAAAAAATGTTAATCTCATTTTCTTCTCCTCTTTGCTTTGTCCTTGTAGATTTGTATCGTATTTATTCCTTCTGCGTTTTTAGGACTTGGAAGAAATGACACATGTGGTCAATCTACCATGTTTAACTAGAACTCAAAAGCTGGCTTATTGAAAAGAATAAGGAAATTGATTGTTTGGGGTTGTTTTTTGGTTTTGTTTTTTGTTTTTGAGACAAAGTCTCACTCTGTTGCCCAGGCTGGAGTGCAGTGGTGAGATCTTGGCTTACTGCAGCCTCCACCTCCTCAGTTCAAGCGATTCTCCTGCCTCAGCCTCCGGAGTAGTTGGGGCTACAGGCCTACGCCACTACATGTAGCTAATTTGTGTATTTTTAGTAGAGATGGGGTTGTGGGGTTTCGTCATGTTGGCCAGGCTGACCTCAAGTGATTGGCATGCCACAGCCTCCCCAAGTCCTGGGATTAGAGACGTGAGCTTCTATCCTGTTTTGTTATTTTTTTTTGAGACAAGATCTCTGTTGCCTAGGCTAGAGTGCAGTGGCATGATGACAGCTCTCTGCAGCCTCAACCTCTCAGGCTCAAGCGATGATCCCACCTCAGACTCCTGAGTGGCTGACCACGCATGTATGCCACCACACCCAGCTAACTTTTGTTTGTTTTTTTGAGACAGGGTCTCGATCTGTTGCCCAGGATTGTCTCAAACTTCTTAGCTAAAGCAGCCTACCCAATCTTTGGTGTCCCTGATTAAGAAAAAAATTAGAAAGTACAAATATACATTAGTATAGTAAAAGGAGAAGAAATGTACAAGAGTATATTACATACTACTATATGATAATCAGTTTGAAATGCTAAACAGGGCTTGGCAGGCCAAATTTGGCTTAATACTTGTTCTTGTCAGTAGTTTTGCTGGGACACAGCCACATTTCTTTATTTACATATGTATCGCCCAACGCTGCATTCGTGCTACAGCGACAGGACCATGTGGCTCCCAAAGCTTGAAGTATTTACCACACAGCTCTTTATAAAAAATATGTGCTGACTCTGCCCTAGAGGAAATGATTTCCTAGAGAAAGAGACTACAATCGACTCCAGATTTGCTAGACTAGATAAATAACTGCAGAGGAGATAGCAAAGGTTATTAAAAATGTTAGGAAGGTTCCAGGCAGAGAACAGCATTCGGAGTTCACTCTGTTCTTTGGAGCATGGGTAATTTTTTGTTCTTTAGATTATTTAAAAAAAAAAAAAAAAAGAATAGTTTATTTCAGACCATGGAATAAGATGGAAAGTCTTTTTAAAGTGACATAATTATTCATGTAGTCGTCTTTTACGGAAACCTTGTTAGAGGTTTTTGTTTTTGCAATATTTAAAATAGCTCATGGTGATCACGGTGATCACTGAGTGTGACACCACAGCGCGCAGCGTGCACAAGGGCCAGACCAGTTCTTCTGTCA